ATCTGTGGGGTGAAATATAATTTTTGTGTTCTTTATAAATTATTATTTCAGCACAAGACAAACAAATTCTGCTGCTGCTGCTGCTGCTGCTGCTGCTGTTGCTGCTGCTGCTGCTGCTCGTGCTCGTGCTGCTCGTGCTGCTCGCGCTGCTGCTGCTGCTGCTCTCTGTATCTCGTAACAGCAGCAGCAGCAGCAGCAGCAGCAGCAATTAGTTTTTTTTTTAATTTACATATATTAATTAAATTAATGTTTATATATTTCGGGTGTACAGGCAGCACCCTTTGCTGCAGCAGCAGCAGCAGCAGCAGCAGCAGCAGCAAGAGCAGCAGCGCGAGCAGCAACAGCAGCAGCAGCAGCAGCAACGAGAACAACAGCAGCAGCAAATGTCTCTCTTTTTTTTGTTATTTATAAAATACAATTAAGCTAATAAAAGCAAAAACAGAATTCGCTGCTGCTGCTGCTTCTGCTGCTGCTGCTGCTGCTGCTGCTGTTGCTGCTGCTCTGCTGCTGCCTGTGTTTCTCTCTGTCTCTGTTTGTCTCTCTCTTTCTCTTTCTTTATTTTTGTTTGTTTTTTATCTCTTTTTATATCTTTATTTATCTCTGCATTTATCTTACTCTTTCTTTTTCTCTCTTTCTCTCTTTCTCTTTCTCTCTGTCTCTCTCTCTGTCTCTGTCTCTCTCTCTGTCTCTGTCTCTCTTTGTCCTTGTCTTTATATTTGTCTCTGTCTCTCTGTCTCTGTCTCTCTCTGTCTCTCTCTGTCTCTCTCTGTCTCTGTCTTTGTATCTGTCTCTCTGTCTCTGTCTCTGTCCGTGTCTCTCTCTGTCCTTGTCTTTGTCTTTGTCTTTGTCTTTATATTTGTCTTTGTCTCTCTCTCTTTGTCTCTGTCTCTCTCTGTCTCTCTCTGTCTCTCTCTGTCTCTGTCTCTGTCTCTGTCTCTGTCTCTCTCTGTCTCTCTCTGTCTCTGTCTCTGTCTCTGTCTCTCTCTCTCTCTCTTTGTCTTTGTCTTTGTCTCTCTCCGTCTCCCTCTCTGTCTCTGTCTCCCTCTGTCTGTCTCTGTCTCTCTCTATCTCTCTTTGTCTTTGTCCTTGTCTTTGTCTTTGTCTTTGTCTCTGTCTCTCTCTCTTTGTCTTTGTCTTTGTCTTTGTCTTAGGTTCTCTTTATTTGTGGTTTTATTTATTTATTTATTTATTTATTTTTTTCTTTCTTTCTGTTTCTGTCTTTCTCTCTCTGTCTCTTTCTCTGTTTTTATTTTTTATTTTTTTTTATTTTTTTATATTTTTTATTTATATTTGTTTGCTTGACTTTATCTTCTTTGTATTTATTTTATTTTATTTTATTTTATTTATTTTTTATTTTATTTTATTTTATTTTATTTTATTTTATTTTATATTTTATTTTATTTTATTTTATTTTATTT